TCTGTTGAATTTCACCTTGCAAAAGAAAGAGAACTTTCTTAATATTACTTCAGTAATGAATTAAATACATTATTACAACTCAAGAGTGGGTTTTGAGGCGCCACTCTATCATTTGTTTTTCTGTTTCAACATATTAATAAAAAACATCAAATTTTTTTGTATTGTTCGGTTTGTTTGCTCATTAAAGATGTGACGTTGTCTCAGTATTCATGTGCGGAAAGTCCAAAAACGTAAATTAAATTATTATAAATAGAAATGACATAGACAGGCGCAAAAAATATTGAAGCACTCATAGGTGGCTCTGTGTACTTAGAAAAAATAATTTAGTGACGGCCAATTTAGTGCTGATGTCATTTCTAGACCTATAGTGAGTACTCTGACCAACAGCGTTTGTGACTTTTTCGGTTGCTTCGTCAACTTGCATTTGAAAGCGAAGGGTTGGCTATACGACTACGTTTTACCACGCTAATGATTACTACTATTTGTCCTTGCTAACTAATCTCCCATAGCGAGGGCAGCATTCTAATGGGTAATTGCATCTGAAAAGATCACTTTTTTCAGCGCAAAAACCCTAAATAATATTCAATCAAAGATCTTAGGCAAAAGCCCTGGAAGAAACTTTGGCTATGCAGAAACTGTTGCTGCCTAGCAAGGGACTAGCAGCAAAAGAAGTTACGACAGAAACGAGGTTTTTTTCAGTTTTAAATAAAAATCTGATTTTGAAAAACCCTTATCGCAAGCTCAGTTTCTAAAACTCTCACAGCGTTTAAGGACGAAAACTGGAAATAAACTATGCATGATACAATACCAATTACTCAAACTAGTATTTAGTTTAGAATTAACAGCCAGAATTTGTTTACAATTTGGTGATTCGAAGCTATTGCCTAAGTCAAAAAAATTTAAAATAAGAAGTTTCAATTAACCTTAAAAACCGTTTTGATACAGGCGGTAGAAATTACTTTTTGAATAGCCTACAGAAAATCAAGTATCAGTGTCAAAAACATATTCAGGTTAAAGTTTTATTGTTCTGACTGTTGTAACCTATCTGCGATTGTCCCATTGTTTGAACAATTTGCCACAATACAAAGTTCTGCATCTTCCGATCAGACTCTTTCTAAACGAAATGTAACAAACAATCTAACTGTTACAGAATACAGCATCTTTGCTAGCGAATAAAGAAATACCCTTTAGCAGCCGTTATGACAACAATTTAATTTGTTGCTCGAGGAATAGAATTCTCGATGATAATTTTAAGAAACTAAGACCATCTGATGATGCCTTAAGTCCAAAACTATCCAAAATTATTTACAAGCAACTACCATTGTAACCGTGTAGCAACTGTAAAGTGTTTTTTGATAATATTGTGTTATGTGATTCGTTTTCCAACAACAGCAGACCACAATCGTCATTATTCTTTGTTCTTTTTAGTTTCTAGAGACAGAGTTTTAATCGATGCCGTACACTGACTTATGCGATTTTTCAGTTTCAGTTTTAAGATTACTGTAGTTTGTTGAAGAATTAACGGAACTACTCAGAAGAGCTCTGCTTCTGCGTTAAACCATTTTCATCACCTGGCTATTCCCAAAAAAAAATTTAGCAATTGTTTACAGCTTTTTTTAACGGTACTAACTACAGCGTTCTTGATGAACGACTACTAATTTGCATTAATTTATGCTAATGATTTAAATAGTATACGGTTTCTGTTTTAACTACTGCTGTTTTTAATATTTTAACACCTGGCATTTCTAGCCTCTTCCATCGTCGTTGAAGTTGTTGGTACAATAAGCATTAAAATGGATTTGAGAACTGTAACTTACTTTTTGATACTGGTTGCTTGTGGTAGGATATCAGAAGAAACCATGATTCCGGTTACAAAGCACGAATTGCAAGCCTTTTTTGAGCCTCCGGTACCGAAGATTGGTACAGATTGCAAGAGCTATCTTGAAAGTGTTAGTTGATATTTTTTTGATTCTTTTGTGGCTATTATTTTGTTTGCTGTCACTGCAATTATTTAGTTTAAAAAGTGAAAATTCAAAAGTTATTTACAAATTAGCCTGCGAGTGCTGCCTAAAGACTTTACCAGCATCATGAAGATGAAAAACTCTGTTTACTTTTGTTCGGTTTTTTTTATGCTAGCAGCAACCAATTATTCCTGGTATTTATAAAGTTATCTAACATCTAGTGTTATTTTCCAAAACATCTATTATTTACAAGCTATTGATAATTTAAGATGTCACAGTTACTTGCCAATAGTTCTCTGGATGCAGATCTGCCTGCAATTTTAACGTCGTTTTCATACGGAAGATCTGACGAATTTGTTGGCGAAATACGTTGGGTAATGATATTTTATACGTTTTTCTCGGTTTATGTGACTAAAATTTTTTTTGTCGGCGACATCTGTTTAGAGAAATTAGATTTTTAGTAAAAAAAATCTTCTGAAAACCTTTAAAACGTGTATTACAGTTCCATAATATGTTGAAATGTTTCAAAACGAGTATAGAATATAATGGAACACGATCTTTTTGTTTTGGATATAATTCCAAACAGTTCGTAGACCTACGAGCCTTTGCAATCTGTATACCCCGACAGTGTGCCAATGACAAGTTGGAGGTAAAGTCATTACTTAGCTTCAGTTTTATTAGTTTTCATTTTTAATCTTTTTTCAACTGTTTTTGTAATTTTTACATTAATTTAAGTAGTGATATTGGCCTTGTTCTTGTCTTTGTATTTTGTTAATGCATAACCAAAATTCATTACTACTTGTTAGCCTGCCAACAGAAATCTTATTTTTTTTTCTTTAGTCAACGTCTAAGGTTTCTATTTAAGTTCCTTACCTTAAGTGATATCGTTCAACAGGTGAATACTTTTATACTTCCATTGGTGAATGAATTTATAAAGAAGATTTTACAAACAATAGCCTTTGCTGACACAGTCTTTGATTATTTTAGCTATTAAAAAGATGGAATTTCGTGACAAGTAAGAGAAGGCTTTTAATTGACACTGCGGTGTGCGTTCATTCTCGTAGTGAGCGCCACAGATTCTTCAGTACTTCAGCAAACGTGCTACTTTTATTGTCCTTTGGTCTTGTAATAATTATATCATTTGCAACAAAGTACCACTCGCAACTCAAAAACTCAAGGTAGTGCATTTACCTCTTTGAATGCTATATTTGAAAGTGAGTTTCTGTTACTTTTTTAACGTTTAAAGAATTATGACTGGTGACCTCAGAAAACTTCTGTTTTGTGTCTATTAGAAGAGTAATAAATCACTCTGGCTGTTTGGAATATGTTACATTAACTTTGTCCACAAAAAATTAACCATATTTTTGCTTTTGAAAATCTGTTATTTATATTGTTAACTTGGGCTGGTAATTTTAGTGGAATTGCGGTTTATTTGATCGTGGAAATTAATACTTAGATGATACAACGAATTGTTACTTGGTTATGATAGTTCGATACAGCTGCATTTAATAGCCACGTTTCACTGTTTATTGCTCGTACAGTTACAAAAATTGCAGAAGTAACATCTCTATCAGTTGAGCAATTTCAGCTCTCCACTCAAACAAATATTGTTTGCTTTTTCGCTAAAGAGAAATTTCTCCAAATTAACCAAACTTCCAAAAGATCAGTCGACAATAACATGCATGTTTGGACTTCGGGTTTATTCGATGGTTTGGACTTTAATTGGTCACTCGTTTTCGTGGATTCAGGTTACTTTGCTGTTCTTGATGCATACTGCAAGATATTATTAGTGTGGTGGTAAAAATTAACTATGGTTCAAACACTACGTCTGATTTAGGCATATGTTGAGAACAGTGATGAATATAGATTTCATATGGCTGGATATTTCTGGAATCTCCTAATTACAAACTTCAATTTGGCTGTGGATACATTTTTCGTCTTAAGCGCTACACTAAATTCATATTTATGGTTTAAAAGTTTTATTAATGGTGCGTCTTTTCTGTTCTTGAATAGTCATTTTGACATTGTAACACATAGCTTTTCACTGTTGAACAGCCTATCTTATAGTACCTGATAGAAAAGTGCCTACGTGGAGATCTTGGCGATATTGGTTAGCTTTTTATCGACATCGTTTGATTCGTCTCTGGCCAGCTTACTTGTATGCCCTATCCTTAACAGCATTTTTTCTAATGGAGTTAGGTTCTCACTCAATGTGGCCTCCATTGGATCAGTCACTGCAGTGTAGAGAGAATGGTTGGCAAAATGCTCTTTTTTTGAATAGTCTGATGTGTAACGATTGCATGGGCTGGACGTGGTGAGTTAAAGTTTTAGGGATTGTCTAATAATTTATCGTTCCCACTCTTTTACGGGTGATGCACAAAAAGTTTTAACAATTCTAGCATTTTCTTCATCAAAAATGTATAACTCGTTGTTTCTGAACTAATTCTGAATGTGAAGATAATTTAACATTCTTTTATTACGTAAGTATAAGCAATATGGAAGCGCAAGATCACTTCTACCTCTAAAATTATTTTAGGAAAAGCCAAACTTTTTTCCATTTTAGGAGAAACATTAGGGTTTTAAGGATTTTCTGACTTCTTCGATGCATTACTAAAAGCACTTGTTTTTTCATTGATTCTTCGGTACTACTTATATTAGTTTGAAAGGTCAGAATGTTAATCTTCTGGACTTTAGCTATCATACTAATAAACTCAAATTTTCATTCCTTTGTTATGGACAATTTTCTAGGTACATTGGCACAGAATTTATATTCTACATGATTTCTCCGATCTTCCTTTTGCTTCTGAAGTATTCTCCACAGCTAGGAGTATCACTAAGCCTTACAACTGTAGTTCTTTCATCTTTAATGAAACTAAGAATTATGAAGAACGACAATTATCCACCTATACCTCTTCATTTTGGTAGCTCTAAATTTTTTCGCGGGACATTCATGGAGGTCTCATTATGCAATTTTTTCTCACTGTACGATATGTTTTTATGTTACCGAGAAGGAGTGTTAGAAAAAATAAGTGGTCAAAATTTAAGTTACAGAGGACTATCATTGTATTTATACTGATAAAAAAAATTGCAGCAGTTATACGTTTATTATATCAAACCTCAATACCGGATTAGTCCGTACATAATAGGACTGTTATTGGGGCACAAACTAGCTGATTTTCGAAAACGTACGGGAAGTAGTATTTCTCCTTTAAGTCAGTTTTTCGGATGGCTTTTCTGTCTAATCTTAGGATGTTGGTCGATATTCGGTGCATATCCGACGATGAAGGTTAGTCTTTTACTAGTTATATTAATCATCCATGCAGTTTTAAAAGGAACCTTTACGGGAGTCATAATACACATTTTCTCCAGCAAAAGTTCAAAGTAAAACAGAAAATACAGAAGTATGTGTCTTATCTGCAGGATATAGATGCACCGATCTTCAATTTGTTTTATGGATCAACACATCGCATTTCTTGGGCAGTTGCCGTCGCTTGGATTATTTATGCGTGTCATACAGGCGTTGGTGGATTAGTCGACAGGATCCTGAGTCACAAAAATTTGATCCTCTTTTCATCGTTGAGTTACTCGGTATATGTTTTGTAAATTTTTAGCACCACAGTCAAGTGCAGGTTGCAAATTTCTGGATTACTCAGAAGCGGGATTCGTTGGTGTGAAGATCTATGTGCTTAATATGGGCCATCTTCTTTATTTAAAAGATATATTTTCAGGTGTATTTATTGCATCTGTTCGTCGTATTCGGTACTTTCATGTGGTCACCGTTTCCTATTAAATTTAAAAGCAAAATTTCAATTTTACTGTTGGCAGTGCCACAACTATTTCTCTCTTACCTGGCAGCTCTGGCGCTTTCAATGTGTACCGAGTTTCCTGCACTTAACATTGAG